CGTACCGTGTCCAAGCGATGGTGTTGATCATAGACGATCAGCCAGCCGAGCCTCCAGCCGGGAGCAAGGTACCTGCAGAGCACAAACACACATTGCACGTAAACACACAGACGTGTAAGTGGATACAGTACTTTCGGTCGCCGAAGAACTTTGGGGGGGGGGGGGGAGGGGTCAGCCGCCAAGCATGGACCGTTCTTATCTTCATGTATGATAGTCTATGCACAGTTGAGTCACCGCGTATACATTGGTATGCTGTGCTTGGTGAAATTCTAGCCTGGTCGTTCTTCGGCGCTTCGTTCTTCGCCGCTTCGTTCTTCGGCGCTTCGTTCTTCGGCGCTTCGTTCTTCGGCGCTTGACTGTACTGCAGTGCAATACGAGGCGGCATGCACGTCTGAATGCATACAGCTACAGGCACGGCCATGAGATTGAAACGGACACCAATAGCATACAGGCAAATACCTGTAGCAAGAACTACACACAGGTTTCCCCACCCCATCAGACGATTCCCAATGGAAGGCAAACACGCACACACACACACACACACACACACACACACACACACACACACACACACACACACACACACACCATGTTTACGCCCGTCGCAAGAGAAGCACGCAAATCTGCAAATGCACTGGATGTGCACCCACAGATTTTCTCTTTAAAGCAACGATAGCGGATCTGATTCTGAATGAAACAGATCAAGACAAGCGCCAGATAACTGTCTAATCCACACAACTGGCGAAGCCATGTGAATCGACCCCCCAATACACACCTGGTCTACACCACACGGAGTACATTGGAATAGGACGGCCAAGACAGTTACCTATGCACACCCTACACTTGCTGAGGTAACCAGTATAGACAGCACGCTGCTTTGATCAAAGCAGACACTAGATGCACGGGTACCTTGAAGTGAAATTGGAGTTATTATACACACACACACACACACACACACGCGCGCACACGCACGCACGTACGTACACGCACGCACACACACACACACACACACACACACACACACACACACACACACATCGACGTAAAACATACGTAGAACGCAGAGCAAGCAAGATAGTACATGCACCTACTTTTTGGCCAGGCTGCGACAAGTCAGAACAGGAACCGTGCTTGTAAGGCTGGCCAACGGATAAAACTCTCCGCCATTGTAAACCTAGATATTATGCACACACATGCACATGTACATACATACACACGCATGCATGCATACATGCACACACACACACACACACACACACACACACACACACACACACACACACACACACACACACACACACACATACACACACACACACACACACCTCAGACCTCAGACCTCAGACATGCCCATCGCGGAAGCGATGATAGCAAACAGCTATGTTAGACATAGCAACTTGTGCTGGGATTACACCATTCAACAGCTTGCAAGGCTGATGAATTGACCGCCACTATTTTTAGCCTGGTATCCACCACACAGCTGTTTGAAGTGACTTTTTCTGGCCAGTGAATCCCTATTTTTCATTTCAATTTTTTCCATTTTTTTTTTTTTTTTTACACACACACCACACCACATACTCTGGCATACACTGGCTGTTGGTAACCACCCAGGAGAATGAAAGAAAAGTCAGGAAGAGTCCGAGAAAGAGAAGAAAGACGTGTGCGACCATAATCGTCGGGAATTGAACCCGCAACCTCTCGATTGGAAATCGACTGCACATACCACTGCACCATATGGGACACACACACACACACACACACACACACACACACACACACACACACACACACACACACACACACACACACACACAAGAAATCCAGCAAAAGTCGAGTGGTGAACAGTCACACATTTTGCCACAACAGTCTCCATAGGGCAAAACATAGACCGCCAAGGACTGACCGGCACACGTTCAATACGGTAAGGAAACTGAACTAGAGAACTGGCAAAATGATTGTGTTACTGTTTTACTGTTTTACTGTTAACTGGTTTGAGGGAAAGAGACAAACGGGAGAAAGTCTGAAGAAAAAATTGACTCTCACCACCAGGACTCGAACCAGGGACCCTCGCTTGTAGCCAGCGATGCTCTAACCACTGAGCTATGGTGTAGTCGTCATCACAGCAGAGACCGTTCAACATTTTCTTCAGACTTCGTAACTCACGTTTCCTGTGAATCCACACAGGCGGGCGGGACGCAGCCCTCACTGTACCCACACACTTCACGTACAAACTAGCACGCAGGGAGGCCCAAGTCATAAAATATTAACTGGTTTGAGGGACAGAGACAAACGGGAATGTTTTACTGTACATTCGAATAGATTTCCAGTGCAGTGATAATGTGTACGCTTGTACACATGTTTGTACACATGTTGATACACACACGCAAGCACGATATGTGTGCGCCTACACACACGCACTCGAGCACGCACGCACACACGCACACACACACACACACACACACACAAACGTACACACGCACACACGCACGCGCACATTCCACACAACCTACCACATCTCCATAGACTTCATCCGACAGGATGGGTAGGTGATGACGCTCGGCAACTGTACACACACAAGCACACAGAACATACAATATGTACTAGTAACTGCTCGCATTGCTCAGCATATCTATAACCCGATTTCTGCACTACAGTACTGGCGGTTGCAGAAGAACTGGGGGCCAGCCGCCTAGCCTAGACCGATATTATTTTTCATATATCACAGTCTATGCACAGTTGAGTCACCGTGTATACATTGGTATGCCGTGCGTGGTGAAATTCTAGCCTGGGTGTTCTTCGGCATCGGGACCTCCGACTCCCATGCCCGAGTGAAGCATCGATTCTAGCGGCCTGTATTTCGTAGTGTGAATGGGTCTTGCAATGAGAGCGCACCGCTCCAGGGGTCGGATTTCAGTTGCCAGCACGATAGCTGTGTGCCTTACCGTCCAGTATTTGCCGGAGGTGTTCTTTGGAGTAGGACGAGCCGCACGGGTTGGACGGGTTGACCAGCACTATCAACCTTGTCTTCTCGTTGATCATGGACTCCATCTGCTCAATATCCACCTCCCAGGATCGGTCCGGCTGTCACAAGGAAAACCAAGGGACATGCGCACACACCACAGACCTCAGACCTGTCCATCACGGAAGCGATGATAGCGAACAGCTATGTTAGACACAACAACTTGTGCTGCGATTACACCATTCAACAGCTTGCAAGGCTGATGAATTGACACACACACACACACACACACACACACACACACACACACATACAGCAGCAGCAGGCAACGAAACGACGTGAACACAACGAAGGAAAGCCGGCAAATGAGAGATAATCTGAGAAAAAGTAGAGAGAGAGAGAGAGAGAGAGAGAGAGAGAGAGAGAGAGAGAGAGAGAGAGAGAGAGAGAGAGAGAGAAAGAGGCGTGCGTACACACATAATGAGATAGAGATAGATAGATAGATAGATAGAGCGAGAGAGAGTGAGAGAGAGAGAGAGAGAGAGAGAGAGAGAGAGAGAGAGAGAGCCATAAAACACAAAGGAAAACTCCCCCTGAGCGAAGACAAGATTAATGGTATGAAATGGCATGAACTGAGCTTTTAACACACAGGTGAATACCCTGTGATATTTCACACATCCTCGGTGAGAAACTCCATTATCACCTTGCCTACAAATCATTCGGAAACAAAGTCCCATGCTGTGTAAAGTTACAAGTGCTTTCTCCAAAAATGACACTTCAAAAAGGTGAGATCCACCTGAAAATTCAACACCTGAAGCTTGAGTGAGCTGTCACAGTGCCAGACCTTCGGTGGAGACACAAGTGTGAAAAATGACCCTCTATCGGGCATTAAAAAGGGTTGTAAGTCGCGGGGTTGAAAGGTTTGCGTCAAATGATTACTACACGTAAGTCTGAAGACTGTGTTGTATTTCGAACGTTGGCGCTATACGTAACTCGAGATTGACTCTACACGCACAAAGCATGCGTGCATTCAGCAGTTACAAAACAGCCACAGTGACGAGTGTGACTATGCTAGTCACGCCAGCCATTGCAACGTAAGCTGCAGCCAAACGTCGGACGCGGTGGACGTGCACAACAGCGGCAGCAGGCCCTTGGCTACCTGGCGCGATCAGCGTAGAAAGTACCCATTGTTTGTTTTTTTTGTCTTGTCTTCGTTTTGTCTCCCTTTCTTCCGTAGGTATGTGCAATGTGATAAAAAAAAATATATAAAAATAAAAAAATAAAAAAACAGCCATACCATAGCCCTATCCAAGCTAGGAGACATGCAACGCTGCTACACATAGTGAATTCTCACTACCATTGGGGGGGGGGGGGGATCTACGGGCCAAATAGATTTGTGAGCGCCACAGGCATGGACAATCTTAGAAACATTGCCTGTTTTATAGTAGATTTTTTAAACAATATTCGCTAAAAGAGCAGCATTTGGTGATGTCAGCAATAGAGGCAGTGAATACACATCACATGGCCATACACCATGAACCTGGTGTAATAGTACATTGCTTTGTGGACGTCATGTGAGGCGCGTAGCACCTCCATTGGAAGTGGTACGGTTGGAGGGCGGTCTGGGGGTGTCCCCCAGCAAAATTTTAAATTAGGGTGCAAAATCTTGCATTCTGGGCACTTCTGGGCGAAAAAGTGGCCGGACCGGCTGCTTCGCCCCTGCATGTGTACGTGGTGTCGGTGCATGCGCGTGCTGCTGTCGTGTTGTAATCTTTTATTTCAATTCGCTCAGGGCACAGGCAATACTGCCTTCTCACCGGAGAGAGGATTCTCCGATTCCTACCACATGTGAAGAAGCAGTCTTCGTCTAGAGTTCTTCATGTCCAGTTGTGTTTCAGTCGTCTTATCACGGATATTCGATTGTCTAAGTGTGGAGATGGCACGGGGCTGGGAGCAGGAGAGTTAACTCCTCAGACAACAAGCCAACGTTTATTCGAGTGTCCATGGACATGTACGGTACATTGCCGAATAAGAAGAAAAAAACTGTCGAGTTTGAAATGGGGGTGGGTCAGCCGTAGTTTAGCCAGTCGGTGAATTTTTTTATTTTTCGAATTTTACTGACGGCCCCATTATGAGCATGAAATGTGTACAGCGACATGGCTTTGAGCAGCGTAGAGTGAAAGTACTCACGAGCAAGTTGAAGAGACGATACTCGACGCCGCGGCTGTCGCAGAACGTACGATACAGCGGGTAGCCGGGACGAGCCAGCAGGATATTGGTGCCGGGATTGCACAGCGATGTCACCGTAAACTCCATGGCCTGCGAACAGCCGACGGTGATGTAAACATCCTGCAAATGAAAACAATATCAGTAATAGATTATAGGTGACAGATCGCGTCCATTATGCATAAGCCTTATGCACATTGTACAGGTGAACGAAATCCCGTAGAATTTCGTAGAATCCCGTAGACCCGGTCGGGTGTTGAATGTGCAGGACCCTATTGTGTTTTCTGCATTTCCACTAAGAAATGGACCCTGAAAGCATTTCATTCGGGAAAAAATTTCCGACAAAGATCCAGCTAGTCATTAGTTCTCACCAAAATGAAGAAGCTGGAAAAGCGTTTGCCATTAATCACGAGACTAAAATTGGCCAATTGCGCATGCATAGCACACAGTGAACACGAAACCGGGTCTGTACACATCTCTGGTCCTAGTACAGAACTTCGTACATCTGTACAACGTGCATAAGGACCATTGACACAAAAAGCAAGAAAATACTGAATTGCTAAACATGCAATTCTTTTAAAAATCCTACTTTGAAAACCCGCCATGTGATGTAAATCTCTATCTACTATCTCTTATTGGCCACAGGTCATTGTGAGAATAAATATCTGAAACACAACAAAAACAGCGCCAGCTTACATCAGCAGTGATGGGATTGTGCGCGTACGAGAACTTGTCCGCGACAGCTTGCTTGGCGATAGGACTGCCTGCAGTGGGGCAAACACACACACACACACGCACGCGCGCGCGCGCGCACACACACACACGCACACATACACACACATACGCATGCATGCACACGTATTCAGACATATACTGGCCGCATGCAGAAGGAAAGCAGCAGAATTTGCGCTAGCACCCCAATCAACCGCACCGCCAACAGCAACAGAAATAGCAACACTTCATCACCATCACCATCTGCCGTGACTCGTGACATGCATTTCATCGCGACGTTCGCGACTCCATCATAACCACAGCCCGGACAGCCACAACAGAAACAGTGCCATCACCACCCTCATCATCATTATCGTCACCACAACCAGCAGCAGCACCAGCACCACCATAACCAACAAAAGCAGCACCACCGCAATCAGCAGTCCCACAGCAATCAGCAGCACACCACCACCACCACCACCAGAAACAGCAGTACCACCACAATCAACAGCAGCAGCACCAGAAATAGCAGCACCACCATCACAACCAGCAGCAGCACCCGCAGCACCACCACAATCCGCAGCAGCAGCAAAAGTACGAGAACATTCTCCTTGCCTGACGTCGGTGCATATCCATTGTGTTTGCCGGACACCAGTGCATCAGATATCGCCTGTACAGCCTCAGCGGCCGGTGGAAGATTGCCGAAGTAACCTGGGTCACCTGCCAAGTGCAGCAAACACAAGTACAAATACACGACCATGCCAGGAGAGGAACACATTGCAAGTGCTCGCACACACAAAACACACACACACATGCATACGGGCACACGCTCACACATACACACGCACACAAGTAAACACACGCACATACGCATGCACACACACACACAAACACACCATGCACCATGAACCATGTATACGCCCGTCGCAAGAGAAGCACGCAAGTCTGCAAATGCACTGGATGTGCACCCACATATTCTCTCTTTATAGCAACGATAGCGGATCTGATTCTGAATGAAACAGATGAAGACTTGCGCCAGATAACGGTCTAATCCCAACAACTGGCGAAGCCATGTGAATAGACCACCAATGCACACCTACACCACACGGAGTACATTGGAATAGGACGGCCAAGACAGTTACACACACACACACACACACACGACACCATGTGGGTCTACAACCGCTGTCGCACATCACAAGAAAACAGCAGTACCCACCGAGTGTGAGGGTCAGCACATCTTTTCTGGGATTAGCCAAATGTCTGGTCTTGTCCAAATAGTCACGCATGGCATAGATGCCAGTCATGGACTCAACTGAAGCCTCTATCGACCAAGAAGTGTTTGCCTCAGCCATTTGGCCAATTAGTCAATATCATGCAACTGAGTGTAGGCTGTCTGCTTGTTTACCGAGAGATTAATTAGTCGATAGCAGGAAACTAAGTGTAGTCTGCCTAATGAATCATCAACTTTAAATACAAACAACCAAAGCTAAGCTTAGCTCAAGTTTCTAATTACAAAGACCACCACCTCACAATGCTCCTTGTTCCATATCTAGCCAGATCGGCCTGTGACTGTGAATCTGTGTGACTACACGAGTGTACAGCCACACCAGACATTGATGCAATGGATAGTGGCACGCTACTGCTATGTACATCGAGCACTGTGCGCGCACCAGTACAAGAAGGCCATGTGCAGCTGCTGGCCCTCAACTGTGCACTTTGAGCCATAAGCGTCGTTTGCTCTGTCATAATTTCATACGGTATGCAACAAGTTGCCTGTACCTCCCCCACCCTCTACACACATAGCACACACACACACACACACACACACACACACACACACACACACACACGCACGCACACACACACACTGTACACACACACTGTACACACACACACACACACACACACCGGCACACACACACACACATGCTGCAGCCAAAGGAAGCTACAAGGCAGTTTGTGTATGGCCCCTGACAAACCCACAGCATGTGAACACGTCGAAAAGCTATGCCAAATCTCTACAATCGACCTGGCACTGGAAACGATGCTATGACCAACGTGTGTACGTGTGCATGTGTGTGCGTGCGCGTGTGTGCACACGCATGTGCATGCGTACATGCGTGTTTGCGTGTGTGTGTGTTTGCGTTCAGTACTAAATCGTACCAAGAAATCCAAACAACCCTCACAAGCAATCGGATGCTACCCTGATCCCATGCTACAAAATGATCAAATCTGACATGTGTCTACCTCTGTCAAGTACGGATGCGGCTCCCCACATGCTCTCCGGCAAGAGTAGATAAACAAGAGTGTGCAACTCCGGATCTCTCCTGCACAATCTGCAGATACCCCGCGCCCACGGCGGAATTTTTTGTTTACGTCACCTTTTTTCAGAGAAACGCGGCTTTGCCGCAGAGCAGTGTGAGAGCACGTGCTGGGCACCGACCTTGTAGTGTAAAGCCCAGCCAAGTGCACGAGGGAAAACTCTCCAAAAGGCTCGCAGCGCGTGCGTCGTCGAAAAGATTACGTCAACAAAAAATTCCGCCGTGGGCCAATCCATCCGGAGTTGCACACTCTTGTTTATCTACTCTTGTCTCCGGTCTTCTACTACTAGTACTGTATGTGCAAGTTGACGTGGATCTACAGCACGTCTTATACAGTGAGCGTTGAAAAACTTGTTGAGCCATTCCGTGGATGTCTAAGCCCTACCTCAAGACTAGCTAGCATGCGTGTGTGGAGACGCGACTTGGATATTGTACGTACTGTGACGTGTTCGCAAAGCTACGAGGATTTTTTTGTGACGAATCCTGTCAAATTCTGGTGACATGCCGAGCGAGGCCGTCTGGCAACACTTTCAGCGGAACAAGGCGGTCGAGTCGTAGCTGCACGGGCTAGGCTAGGCACATGCTGGGCCCTCGCATGCACTCCAACAGTTACACCAGTGAGACAACTCACCGATATTCAAGCGCAGGACATTCTTCTCGGGATTTGCCTTGTACACGTCCAGGTCGGCCAGCGCACGAATAGGATTGACGCAAGCCGTCGACTCGCTCGAGGCCGCCTTCGACCAAGACTCAGTAGACCCAGTGTCAGCCATATCTCACTGCGTGCCTAGTATACAGCCCTGTCGTAGCTGCAACTACAAGTAGTTGTTACAGGCCCAACGAAGTCTAAGGACTTCGGTACTCCTCCAGCTGCTAGCTCACCGACGAAATAGAAAATCTACTTTGACAGGCAAGGCCTGCAGACTTTACATCAAAATTAATGATTCTACACAGTGAGTAGATCTACGACTCGTATGATCTGATGGATGACCAAAACCTTTGTACAGTAACAGTTAAACTGCATCACTTCTTCACTACTTCTTGTGCAGATAATAATTCAACAATCGAAGGGGAGACTCCAAGCTCTCCAATGCAACACTTGAATCGTCCAAGAGAACAACAAAGGTGACGATGTCGGAATCCAGAGCTAGAGATATCGCCCGCCGTATTCTTATCTCCGCAAATGCCGCAAATTTTTGATCGATCTGATTCTCTTCGCCATTTTCAGGGGAAATCCCTTTTTGCGTGCGCTCGAGCGCTCTTTGACCGAGCTACATGATCACCTGCGCGTTGGGAACGGCTGAGCGTTCTGCGGTCGAGAGTGGAATGGCGGTGATTAGTACATGTACTTGCTTGCATACAGTTGAACATCGATTATCCGCACATCGACTATCCGACCATTCGATTATCTGTAACAGTTTTTTTGGGCGCACGTGTCGTAGAGTACGCACTGTGCATGTACAGTCGAACATCGATTATCCGACCACCTCTGGGCAGACAACTGTAGTAGTAGTAGTAGTAGTAGAATTTATTATTTTGATAGGGAAGGCCCTACAGACGTTGCCGTCTTGTTACAGGGAACCCTAAGTGCTCTTTACAGAGCATCAGGCGGTGTTCAGATAAGGCAAATGTTCCGGAAAACACACTGTAAAATAATACATGTACATGTACATTGTAAATAGAATACAGTGCTACTTTTCAAAATTTTCGTATTAATTTTTTGAATGGCTCACTATATGCACAGTGCGTACTCTACGGCACGTGCGCCCAAAAAAAACTGTTACGGATAATCGAATGGTCGGATAGTCGATGTGCGGATAATCGATGTTCAACTGTAGTGAGCCATTCAAAAAATACGAAAATTTTGAAAAGTAAAAAGGTCGTACATGTACATGTTTCTTATCCGGAACATTTGCCTTATCTGAACACCGCCTGACAGTTGTCTGCCCAGAGGTGGTCGGATAATCGATGTTCAACTGTACTAATACAACTAATACAACTGGTGAAATTTTAATTTTTGCCTTAACTTCCCCTTTAAAATAGCAGGCCCGAGACTGTGTTGTCAGATTCAAACTAGCTTAACCTAGCTGCTGCTTCAACCAATGAAGCCGAGTGTGGTCACAGCGTTGGCCAATGCAAATATGAAAGAAGCCTGATCCTCGTTCAGGACACATAAAACAGCGTCATAGTCGAGCAAAGTGTGTGTCAGATCGTGATTATTATGATCCTCCCAAACCCTCCAGTACAGGTCTGAGCTCGCCCGCTTGGCCAGGGGTAGGGTCCGGCGGATTCTGCCGGCAGAAACATTGGCAGAATTCGGTACTTTTTCTGGTAAGTTTCATGCATGTCTGGCATGTGGATAAAGAAATGGAGCAGAATTCGAGGAATTGCCCGCCATAAGGTTTGTATGGTTCTGCCAATTTCACTGCTTTTCGAGCAGAATCCGCCTGTCCCTAGCCAGGGGTACATGTATATCTGCTTGCAAGAACCGACTAGCTTTGTACTGCTGAGGCAACGAACTGAAATAATAAAAACCAAACCAAGCGGCTTCTTAATTAAGAAGGCCGGTTCCTGGCAGTTCAGTTGCAGGGTCCTTTGCATTTGAATATTTTCCCCACACGCGCGGCTGGTAGCTGCGAGCTTTCTTGTCCTGGCTTCTCTCCTTTTCTGTGATATGATGGTTGAATACGATGTGGTCTTTCACAATGCTCTTTTCCAGAGCGATTACAGTGTGGAAACCCTCACTTGCATAGCTTGCCGGTCGACACAACTAGCATTTC